ATACAAACAAACTTGAAGCATTGTAACTTAAAAGAGACGTATACTTTAATTCACCAATTATTTGATATATGTCCAAGACTTTTTCTTTGAATAGGAATCTGGTGATGCAAGTTCCCTGATGTCTTTCTTCCATGAACCATGCCTCACCTTTAAAGCATCACCTAAGATTTCCCACAGGAGTGAGAACTGAAGATACACTCGTACACTGTGTGTAAACTTGCACATTTTTCTGACTTCTCTGACAAGTGCTTACAGTTTTCTAATCTACACCTAATTAGACAACTCACCTCTATCAGGTGTTCCCAAAGCCGCCAATTTACGTTTTCATAGAAACAACTCATTCAGTCACATTTTATCAGTTTACGTATTTAAATTTCACAATAAAATAAACAAGTACAACTGGAATCAGTGAGTTTAGACAGAAGCCCAGATGACCCTTGGGCAGCTTACACACATGGACAAACTACAGAATAGCCACGAGATGAACGAACGGAGTGTGCTCCAGGCACCGGGTGCTTCACAGGGGGGGATGCAAGTCAGTTCATACAGCAAGCCCAAGCACAAATAACACACTTAGTATCTTAGTTGGAGATCATAGCTTCAATATTAGCATGCAATGATATCGTGTTAAAGTTCTACCTGTAAAGTTTTTACGTCAAGATAGCTTTCTTTCAAATACATACTAGAAGGGTTAAAACCGCCATCTTGTTTCATGGATGTCAAACACCTCTTGCTTCTAAATTGCACAGTATAGCTGATAAAACAAGGAGGTAACACATACACATTAGTGTTTTCATTCTAAATTGTTACCATTCATGATGAAGCCCTTACTATTTATTAATGATAGTTGATTTGTATTTTGGCACCCACAAAATGGAGGCTGCCCCAGTGGCCAGGCTGTGAGGAAACTGAACCCAAGTAGGCCTGCACTTACACCTGAGACACCTGTCAAGGAAACCGCACACACACCAATCACAGTCCTCCAACTCAACCTAGCTCGCTCACCTTACCCTAGAAAAAAGGACCTGCTAACCAGTCATGACCTGTTTCCCTCCTGCCTCTTCCAGCGTTCTATAAAACTGGCACTTGCCCAAAATCCTTCAGGAAGCGTGCTCCGCTGCTTGGGAGGCACTGTACTGCCTAATCCATGGATTATTTTCCCTTGAATAAAAGGCATCAAACTCATTACTACATTGTTTTAGCGTTGTCATTGGATACTAACACACTTAAATGGTATCAATATCAAGGAGTGTCTGTAACAAAGTAAAAAAACTTCTTAAGATCTAACTTTCATCTTTGGCTTCAGTGTTCTTCTATTGTTTATAGGTTTTCTTATGTTATTCCCCAATATTTGCTTTCTTTTTGGTCTAATTTGCCTTTGGTTCTGCCATCTGCTCTGCTCTAGCCAGATAGAAACTAATTTTATGTTGTTATATTTTACTTATTTAGAAAAAGGATGGCTGACAGTCAGTTAAAACTCTGGAAACCAAAAGTTGGCAAAACAAAGATACATGATAATTTAAGCTTTATTCAGGAAGTGACTGTGTCTCAGGATCTCAGTAATAGAACATTATGAATTGAAAGTAATCAGTTTTCTACAACCTCTAAACTGCATGTTAGTGAAGATTTACCCTGAGAAATCTTCAATGGCAATCAATAAATTCTAAATCCTCCTAATCTCTAAATTCTGAATAAAAAAGAGCAGTTAATATTTGAAGATTTGCCACAGGTCCAGGGATTGTGCTAAGCACTTTCTGAGTATTACCGCATTTAATCCTTCTGAAAAAGGATATATTTTCATTCTTTTATTTTTTAATTTTTTAATTGATGAGGAAATCTAGGCTTGGATCTAGTTTAATGGACCTAGAATTTAAGGACAAGTCTGTAGGCCTCCAAAGTCCATGCTCTTTGCCAGAATATTATGCAGCAGACTCAGAAGTTATTTCAAAAGAATTCCATCAAAAGACAGATGCCAAGCTATTTAAATCACTCTTTCTTTTTAATGGAAAGAAGCACTGTAACCTAACTATTTAGCTCTGAACTCGGGGCTTTCAACCCAGCCAAATCTGAATTTGTTCAGATTTGACCATCTGTTCTTACTTATACTTAAGATCAAGATATTTTGCCTTTATCTAAATCTCCTTTATTAAGATTTATTTAAGGGGCACCTGGGTGGCTCGGTGGGTTAGGCCTCTGCCTTCGGGTCAGGTCACGATCTCCAGGTCCTAGGGATCAAGCCCCACATTGGGCTCTCTGCTCAATGGGGAGCCTGCTTCTCCCTCTCTCTCTGCCTGCCTACTTGTGATCTCTGTCAAATAAACAAAATCTTAAAAAAAAAATTATTTAATATATCTTCAATCCCTTTGTTAAAATCATCGCTCTATACAGATTTAGAACTCAGGGAGTAGGTATGAATTAGAATTCCTCCATTGGAATTCCTCCAATATACAATTGTTCTATTGAAAAAAGGAGAAAGTGAAAATAAAGTTCTAAAATGATACAAGCAAAAAGGAAAATGCATTGACACAGCCTGCTGGGATGAGGCTAAGTAGTAATAAAATATATTCTTATATTCTTCTTCAAAAATACGGGGATAAGGGGGAACACAACTGCCCACTGAAGTGTAGACTATGACTCTTCAGGAGCACAGTTCAGCAAGGAGAAAGAGTGACTTTACAATGGAGAAACACCACCTCGGCCAGGTGACCAAGGTCAACATCAACGAGCATATGCCGGGGCTATGCATCTTCGATACGATGTGATGGAAATGGCAATTTCCCTATGGGGTAATTCCCCCTCCCAAAATTCATAACCTCAGTCAAATCCTAAGAAAATTGTGAGATAAAATTCCAGAGAGCCATTCTACAAAATATCTGACTAGTACTCAGTACTGTCAAGATCTTCAAAAATAAGACCGAGAAACCACCACACCCAAGAGGAACCTACGAAGACATGGCCAACTAAAGGTAATGTGCTAGCCTTGATGGCAACCCAGACTAGAAAATGGACATTAGGTAAAACTTTAAAAATCTCAAGCGAAGTATGATAATGTACCATAAAAATTGGTCTATTAATTGTAACAAACATACCATATTAATGTAAGATGTTAATAAGGAAAGCTGGGTGCAAGGTATATCGGAGCTCTGTCCTATCTCCCCAACTTTTCTGTAAAACTATTCTAAAAAAAACTGGATTAAAAAAATCCATAAGGATAATGTAAAATGGCAGTAATATGAAAAAACAAAAACAAAAAACTTTGGATTTCTTTGAAGACATTCCCTTGTCTCTTTTTAGCAATACTATGGAAAAGATGGAGATTTTGTACCACTGAACTTCAAAATTCACTGAAGGGAAGCAGTGGTCATATTACCATCAAATAAAATAAATAAATCTAACTTGGGGTCTTCATTACTTATATTCTGAAAATAAAGGATGACTATTAAAAATTATATTGGTTTCCAAACTTTTCAAAAGACCTAACATTCACCACTGCTAAAGTAAGTCACAGTGTACAAAGCTACTGAAATCATAAATTATAGAGGTGGGTGGGTGGCTCAGGTCATGGTCTCAGGGGTCCCAGGACTGAGCCCCACACCAGGCTCCCTGCTCAGCGGAGAGTCTGCTTCTCCCTCTGCTCTTCCTTGTGCTCTGTCTCAAATAAATAAATAAAATCTTTTAAAAAATCATAAATTATAAAACTTCAGAACTTGGAGGCATTCTACACTAATCTCTTGGTAAGTGCACTGAAACAAAGGAAATTTGCTCAGTATCGACCTACCAGTTAGAAGTAACTCAAAGTCTGGTCTTTCAACTTTCAATTCTAAGATCTTCAACTATACAATAATTCCATTCTGATTACAGACATGTCAGATAGAGCCAATAATGTTTCTAAACAACATTCAAATATCTACATCCCTAAGTGTGTTCTATGTAAGGGGTATTCTTTTGACGCGCAAGTAGGGTGGCAGGAAGGGATGACCGGTCAGTGTTATGAACTGCACTTATATCTTCCTTGCATTCTAGGTTTTACAAAAATAGTGTTTCATTTACATTTAGTCCCAATGCTGCACAGGCAACTCAAATTAGAGAGTAGACAAATTCTGAACTTAGTGCGGTATTTTAAAAATAAACTGTATTTAAACTGCTACTACCACGTGTAGGTGATACATAGTTCTACTTTTCACTAATACACCAAAAGTAATGAGAAAAGAGTATACCTCAAGATCATGCAATTACAAGTACTGTACTTAGAAAGCCTTGAGTTAGCCTAACTTCGGACTACAATATTTTAGTTCCTAGACTAGACTTACTAAACCTAGCATCACTAAGCAAGATAAAGCCAGGCAGGTAAGAATTAGGGTCCCAACAAATGAGTAGCCTTGAATATAAATATGCTGATGAGATGCAAACCCTCCCTTTAGGAAATGACCAGTAAAAAGGAGGTTTCTGATGATGCCAGTGTGGGACACCTGGGGTGAATCTGTTAAACTGTGCCCCCATCACATGCCATCAATGTTCTACAAATCTAAGTTGTGACAGCACAAAACTCTTTAGTTTCTTCCCCCATCAGAACAAGTACCTTAGAGCCCAGCCAATAATCAATGCACCAGCCAGATTCATCACGATCTACATAAGCTCGATCTATCCCAAAGGATAACTTAAAGACTGTTAGAAAAGCATTCCTTGGTACCAAGAATGGGGGATTAGGGTTATTAGACAGCTGGTACCACCACTTCCTCCTATTACATGAAAACAAATAGGCCTCTTTCTCTTTTGCTCTCTAAGTTTAGTATTAAGAGCATGTAATTGAATAAGCTCACTGGAGTGGATAAAGATTAGGATAAACTGTTATCCCCCTCTCTTTAATTTCCTCAGTTAATTTAAATGGCCAACTAAAACAAGTGATACAATCTATTTGTACTCGAGAGAACCGTCAATCAGGAAATCCATAATAGGGCAGGCAATACATATTTTTGAAGATAAAATGGAAAAAACACAGATATGAGTGAACAATTTTTATTGAAACCCTCAAAGATTAAAGAGGACCAAATGGTGAGTTTGGGTACCATAACAGAAAATCTCACCTAACTGTACCATCATTCACAGGAATGAACAAACCCAAACACGACAAAATTCAATTTCTCATGTAATTGCTACAAGTGAATGTAAATGAACTAATCATTTTATCATAACCTTTCTTTAATCATACGAAAAAGAAGGGAATTTACATGGCATAACAAAAGATATGCAAAACTTAATGAAAACACAATTCTCTTAAGTTTTTCAAACTTATTTTTATAGGATGCAGAATGCACTTGAAATGATTAAATGATTTAAGCTGATTCTTTTTTATTGCAAACTGTTTTAACATCAGCTTAACCCCCATGCATGGTATTCAAAAAGAACACAGCTTTTTAATTAGAAAGATCACTCAAGTTAAAATGAGGAATTAAGTACTAAAAATTAGGAAAAGGCTGGGGTTTCTTCTGAAAGGAATCTTCAAGTACCAATATGTATAGAGAAAGAATACTAATTTTGGTTACATTTTCCCCCTTACTGTTAAATATACAAACTATAATACCTTTCAAAATAAAATACCCACATACGATAACTTTAATTAGAAACAATCAAACCAGATCTTGGAAAAATATTAAGCAAGAAATTTGCTGGGCCAATAATGTCTTAATTTGTGATTATTCCAACATTTGATGATGTGTCTCCTGCTGTAGAGCCCAGGTTCTCTTCCTTTTGGTCCCTACAGTTAAGAAATATTTAGTTAGTTGTGCTATTGAGACAATCTGTAATAATTTCGCTTAGAGAAAAAAACTTTTTTTGCCATACACTGACAGACCAAAGAGGAAGAGAAGGCAGGTGCTCTGAAGAAAACTTAAATGAGAAAAAAAAATACCAATTTTGAAAAAAGTTTTTTTGTTTTGTTATTTTGTTCCCCCCCCCCACCCAAAGGAATGCTGCACCCATTTCACTTAATATTAGAAATCCAGGTTAAAGGCACTGGGATGTATTCCTCACCATGAATAGACTACTCAACTACATCTGACATCAGAGTCTGCTACTGCAATCAGCCTGCTTGCTGAGAGTGACACTTCTTACATAGAAACTTAATGTAAATTAAACAAGTTTGAATCCACTTATAATGTAACTAGTTTTATAAAAATATTCAGAGTCACTAATAAAGCACCAAGAAAAAGAGAACCTCAGAGAGAGGACTCAGACCCTTCCTACAAGGTCACCCCTTTACAGTTTTGTCTAATAGGACCTCCAGAGTGACAACAGTCATCTTTGACATGTCCTACCTATATAATCTTAGGGATGTAGACCATTGCTATGGTGACTATACCCAAATGCCCATTTTCATTATAAATAGTTAAGAGACATGTTACAAGATTTCATGGCTTACTCTTAAAAAGGTAAAATAGGTGCAATTTTCCTTTAAGAAAGACTTTATTCTGTAATACACCATTAACATTTGATGTTCCCTTCAGTAAACACTGATAAAACTACACTGGGACTACCAAAGAACTGTGAAGTAGCTAAAATTATTACAAATACTGTACTTTTTCCCACTTGAATACAGTATTTGTACATTTAAGAAAACATTGTACAAAAAAATTATATAAATGAAAGCCTCAAAGAAATATCTGTCACTAAATTTTTGAATTGAAGTGACCAAAGACCATAGTAAATGAAAACATTTCTAAACATGATGTAAACATAAATGGAGTAATGCAAAACATCAAGGTATTCAAATCTACTATATTGCTATTTTCACCCTTAATGTATCTTTCTACATAGTTTTCTCCTTTTGGAACAGTAATATAAGGGGCGGTACATTATCTTCATAACCTTATGCCACCAAATCAGTTAATACAGATGCTTGACACATTTAATTATACAAAATCAATTTGTTTCAAGTTACAAAATTAATGTTGATATGTAATTAATGAAAAAGATAAGATGTTAAAAAGATAACTATAAGAATACCCAGATATATGCTGTATTCCCATTTATATAGATCTGATCAATAAAACATCAACACATTCACTTAGATACTGATTTAATCCATGGATCAAGGCCATATTTTCAAAGTATTTTAAGGATGCCAGGACACTGCAAAAGCTGGAGAAAAGAGTTGAGGAACAGTATATGCTTGCTAAACAAGAACTATGTTTATTTAGCTAGTGAATACCTAGAGTAATAAATTTTTACTTCATGATAGCAATCAGGCTCGCAAACACCCAGAAATAGGAATTAAGGGTTTTAAATGTAGTTATAAAGGTCATAAAAAGTCTGATTAGACTGAGGTACATTTACTCAAAATTTTGAGATTCATTAAGTGGTAGCAAACAAAATAATTCCTCAGACAAATGCACATTTTTCAGTATACATATTATTGGGGGAAGGAGGGGAGAAGAATGTGCATTAATTGGTGAAATCCACCAAGCTGCATATCAATATTCTGTTACACCAAACAGTTTGAAGACAAGGGAAATGTTCTAATATAATTTCAGATTATGTTTCATTTGGCTAAAATAGAGCTTAAGGTTGCTTTGCCATATTAAAAGTTTACTACAATAATTTTTCACATAAACATTTAGACTTGAACTCCAGGACTAAATATGGCATGATTATTTTGCTTTTAATCTGTCAAAGAGCTAAAAATTGACAATTTAAAAACTACAACAAAGAAAAAGTTGAAGCAGTGTGACTCTTACATCATTGAACCACTTCTAATGGTTAACTGTTAGTATTTAACAAATTCAAAGAGTTAATGAATCCTTGCATTCATTCAGTCTTCTGTGCCTTAGCTAGGATGCATAATTACAAAAGACAGCAGATACTGGTAAAAGCTTCAGGACAGAAAGTGCTTGACGAAGTTACAATTCTCAAGTGTGTTTGGTGAGAGTATAAGGGCAGATGCGCTGATGAAAACCATTACAAGAAGAGTCAATTCTGTGTTAGAGTTCAAAGATGTCACCTTAAGCAGAAAAAAAGCTTTAATAATGTCTTCTTTGACTTATTAGGCATTTCCAGAGTCTACATCATTAGTGTTGTAATTCTAACAGGACATCTTCATATGGTTATTGTTTGTTTCTATTTCTCTCCTGAAAGAAAAACACAAAGAATTTTAATAAAACACTACCATTATTTAAAAATTTAAATTATTTGTACTATAATGCAAACCATCTTCATAAAAATTTCTTCAAATACTAACTGGAGTAAGTAAAAAAGATTTACCTGCACACAACCATAGAGGGCTGATTACCATGAAACATTTCAAAATTAAGCAATCCAAACACAAAGACCTATTTCAGGAGAGTATGGCCCTCTCCACAGCCCTAACCCCAAGAAATTTTGTTTAAGGAGAGAATATGAAATGTGTTTTTAGGCCTTTCAATGAGTTTTTAATGGTGAGGTATCAAAACAGACAAAAAGGCCTCTGAAGCAATATGAAAACTTTTGGCTAAGCAGAGTTAGGAGGAAAGGAAGAGTTGCATTAAATTGCATTCAAGTTGTATTACGTTAAGATTCTAGTAGTAACTAAAAAATACCGTGAATCACAAACTTCCTCTATATCACATTCTCACATTCATCATATTGTAACTTTTCCCTATCAAGAAACATGATTACTTATTATTTCCTTTAAGTGGAAATCCCTTGAACAAAAATTAAACTGAGTGATGTTTTATCAATGTTTATTAACCAAATATTTATCTATAGTACTTCTGCCTGTGAAAAAAGGATGACCAGTGTTGTGCATGTCTATCAAGTGCAAGCATCATGTAGTCTGTTTGCACCATCTTTTTTTATTATTTTTCAAGATTTTATTTATTTGACAGAGAGAGAGCCACAAGCAGGGGGTGAAGGAGGGAGACGGAGAAGCAGGCTCCACACCAAGCAGGGAGCCAGATGTGTAGATGTATCCCAGGACCCTGGGATCATGATCCAGCCAAAGGCAGATGCTTCACCGACTGAGCCATCCAGGTGCCCCTGTAAGTTTTTATTTTAAACAAGTTCACAGGTGATCCAGACACTGCTGGTCCAGAGAACACACTTTGAAAACCACCTGTGTTTAAACAAATTATAAGACTCACTCTCTGTTTTCACTACTCCCATTTTATATTCCCAAAAGCATTACATGTTCTATAATAAATATGAATGCACTTTGCAACTGGTCAAAATAAGTTCCCATCCTGTGACAGCATCAGAAAACTGTATTTTACATTCCAAAGAGAACTTTTCAAGTTCTTTGTTACTAAATTCCTTTCTTTTTTATTTTAATTTACTCCTAGAACTTGAAGAACACTACTTATACAGAAAGCTAATCAAATAAATGCCCTACCACATGATAGCTACAAATCATTTTATACACACATTATCAGTGAAAGACTCTGAAATTAAATAAAACAAAATGAAAGCAGACACAAAGCTACCTAATTAAATCACATTTCAAAAGGATAAAAACAAAAATCCAACAACATAAAAAAAACAAAAGATAATTTGGTACTGGGGAGCTACAGTTTAATTTTACAAAGGCCCTAAGCGCTTAGAAAAAAACAGCCTAAACATAAAATCCAGTTTTAAACTGAAGGAAACAAATAGATTTGTATGAAAAATTTTGAAACCTGCTCTAATTAGCCAGATATAAAAATCTAGAGAAATTCATCAACTCCACGAAGAGCCCCAAAAGTACAGACAAAAAAAAAATGGCACTATTTAAGGATATGTAAGACAATGAGAAATTTAACTGAAGGAAGATGATCAGCTGTATCAATGAGGATTATGTATTACTTAAATAGAAGTTAGAGATGCTATTTCAGTTTGAACAGTAATCAACTATGCACTTTAACTGGATCAAATTTAAAATATGTAAAATTACACATGTACTATAATAAATCTATGTGTGTAATGTGTAACTTCCAACTCAGTGGACAGAAAAAGAGGAAAAAAAAAAATCAATCCAATAGAACAGATGGGTCGGGGGCGGGGGGCTTGAATGATCTACATTTAATTAGAAAGTACAAAATAAGACAGAAAATACACATTTATATCAAGCATCAAAAAAATGTATGTTCACCAATGAAAACAATTCAATGCTTCAAAAATCCAGTTATACATGATTACAAGAAAATAACCTAAAACATAATGACACAAAGTTAAAAGTAATGAAAAGACATAAGACGACACAAACCAACTAAAGACTGACAGAATTATATTACTACCAGACAAAACTGATTTAAAGGCAAAAACCATTGTTGGGAGATAAAATGGTCACTACATACTAAATAACAGACATTTTTAAAATAAGCTGTGACACAATATTAAACTAAAAAAACTTTACATACATTAGAAGTTGTCAGAATTATAAAGAAAATTTGACTGGCTTCTCATTACAGCAGGAGAATTTAACACATTTCTCTGTAATTGGTAAAATGGAAATATTAGTAAAAATATAGGCTGCATATACATAATACAGAAAACCGAGGCAATTACAGGGTACACAATGAACCACCACAAAAGGTGACTATATGTCAGACTGGAAAGCAAATCTCAATAAATACTGAAGAGTCCACGTCATACAACATCACATTTTCTGACATCAATTTTAGAAGCAAAACAGGTAAACAACAACAAAACACCTTACCAACATTTGGAAATTCTAAAAACACACTCCTAAAAGTCTCCCCAAAAATCATAATGGAAATTCAAAAATTTTTACATCAGTACAATGAAAATGCTTAGTCTATGGCCCACCAAACACTTAGGAATGTACATGTGCAAAACTGAAAAGAATAAAAAAAGGCTCAAAAGTAATGAGCTATCATCCAACTCAGTATGTTAGGAAATGAGTAATAAGTCCCCAAAAGTAGAAGGAATGAAATCAGATTGCAGCAGAAAATAATGAAACAGAAAACAAGAATAAATAGAACCAAAGAGAATAAAAATTGGTGTTTGCAGGGAAAAGCTAGTGTCTGGAGAGGGAAAAAAACCTAGCAACAAAAATCTCTGGAAGGACTGATTTAAAACGAAGATACATTTAGTATCATGAAGACTGATACAACTAAAAAATAAAAATACTATTCATGCCAATATGAAAAAAACCTTAAAACAACTTCTTAAAAATATAATTTACCTACATACAATTTACCAAACTAAATTCAAGAATAAACAGAAAACCTGCAGAAGTGACTTATAATAACTAAAGAACATAAATCAACAATTAAAAACTACCCCACACAAAAACCCATCAGGCTCGTGTTTTTGTTATGTACCTATGTAAGTATGTATGCATGCATGCACGTATGTAATCTCTACACCTAACGCTGGGGCTCAAACCCAAGACCCTGAGATCAAAAGCCAACCAAGAGCCCCCAGACTCACATGGTTTTAGATGTACATTTAATTAATTGTCCTAGAACTGATCATTCTAAACTAACACCAACTATTCCAGAGACTAGAAAAAGGGGGAGCATCTCCTGAGTATTTTGAGGGTAGCAATACTTTGATACTAACAGTGTCAAGAGAAGAATGAAAAAGTAACAGTTTAGTCTCACTTGTCACAAAAGGATCTCTTCTAAGGCTGTTTTGCTGGTAACTGTGTAGAGAAGCAAAGGTGAGATTGGGAAGGCCAGTAAGGCTAGCACAGTTAATAATCCAGAACAATAATAACAGCCCTTAGATGGTGATGAAAGATGTAGAGCTTGGTTTTGAGATACATTTTGAAAGCAGAATCAACAAGACTGACTTACTGATGTATCAACTGATTAGATACAGAGTTTAAGAAAGAAAGAGTCAAGAATGAGTCCCCTTAACTGGAAGGGCAGTGGTGCCCTGTACATAGAGAAGGTTTGGGGCAGGCAAAGAAAGAGGGGAGTTAGATTTCAGATACTTATTAGACAGCTGTGAGAAGATATCAAATAGGCAGTTCGACATATGAGTCTGGAGACAGGAGGAAAGGCCCAGGGCGGGGGGTGTATACATATTTGGAAGTCTTAGCATTATAAATGTCCATCAACAAAACTCAGGTCTTCCTGAATATGGTCAATACCTTGGCTTTAAGACAACAAAACCCATATTTATATTAACAAGATCTAGAACTGAGCCTGACACTGTTAACATTAAATAAGTATTTAAATATAAGGAGAGATCTATGGGCATGCTATTGACTACAGACCACTAGAAATATGAGATTAAGCAATATGGAGCTATCAGTGATAACTTCTTGTGCTATTCTAAAATGACATACATATTACACAACTGCCATCATAAATAACATGTACTAGTGTGTTGTTGGGAAGTAATACAGGAAGGAAAAAACCTGAATTAAACCAAAGGAGGCATGGTCAAGTACACCTATCCAGTACACCTAAAGGTCTATGTCTTTAGTGATAGTTCAGAAGAAGGCACTTTAAACACACACTCTTTATGACACAAACTTTCCAAAGTGACTCACAGAATTTTCACTTTTAACAATGACTGACAACTCAAAAAACAATTTGCTGAGATCCCTCCTTCTCTCATTTTCCATTAATAATACAGCTAGGCCTCAACCAGTCAGATTTGGAGATTTGAGGGCTTTTCATCTCTGGTATAGGGTTTCTTCCCCATTTTGAGCTGAGTAGACACTGGAGACCAACGTATGAACCTAAGGCCTAGACACAGAACTTGGCCGGTGGAGAAGAGCTCCAGGAGGAAGTTTACTTGCTAACCCATGTCTTTTTGACAGAGCATAATGGATGAGCTAAGACTTCCTACCTAGGAAACAGCTGGAAAACAAAATTTTCTTCAGTGTCCTCCGAAGAGCCAAAAGCTTGCCCTTAACATTACAAATAGATAACTTACTTCTTTTTAATCACTGGTAGGTTTATCACTATTAATGATATTTCAGTAACCAGAACTGAGACTACATAAGCCACAAGGGAAAAAGCAACTGTGTATCTAAGAAGTCTCACCATCCAAAAAGAAAATGAGAATAAGCACAAGGAATGTAAGTACAATAAAAGAGAACTGCTGAAAGAGCCAGTGAATACCTGGTGGGGGTGGGGGAGTAGAAAAAGAGAGACAAAAAGAGAGAAAGCAGGCAGGCAGTCACTTGAGACCCAAA